CTGTCTACCGTGAAAACAAGAAGGCTCGCTCCAGTATGACTCTGTCTCGTCAAAGGAAAAGGCTCCGACTTGTTGAGCAAACTATTGGAAGGTACAAAAGTATTCTCTCCTCTCACTCATATGTTAACCAGACTGTGGACAAAGCCCTTCAGACAAACCTCCAAGAAATCCTCAGGTATGGCGTGGAACTAACGTATGTAGCACGCTTTACACTCGAGGGTGCGGCAAAGGTGGCTGTCATTTCAAGGTCAGCTTGCCGATCAGGCTTGCAACATAACATGGAACGCCTGCAATTCATTGTTGATAAAATAGAAGCCTTAATGGAGAGTGACATTGAAGGACTTTTGAGATGTAATAATTTGGATAAATTAACTGACTTCTTGCTCCGTGGAAAAGACTGCATTCTTAAAATTGGATGTTTCCTGGCTAGATGGCAAGGAAACTGGAAAGTAAATTAACTACACATTCTGCTTCTGAGAGTAGCTAGATTTCGATATCACTCCATGTAAGGGAATCCAAGACAGTCTTCAGGGGCGGATCTAGGGGGTGGGTGAAGGGGGTGCGCACCCCCTTGAGATGACCGGCGGCTAATACAGTTATACAAACTCTCCTGTTCGTTTGATATGTATTATCGGCAGTTCACGTAATGTTATTGCCTAGTCTAGGGCTGAAATTCGGATGCATTATTTTGTTTACAAGGCCATTAACTGGGAGGGGGGGGGGGGGCAATGTACGGTAACCGTTGATGAGCAATGAGCTGCTTTGTTCCTGCAAATCCTACCCAGATCTCTGGTTTACGAAGCCGAAGGTGAGTCCTGGTCAAGTAAGAAAATTCATTTGTTTTGATTGGCTAGATTGTCAGCGAATGACGCGAGTGGTGTCTCCTGCGCGCGCTATTGCATGTGCAATTCATTCTTTGCAAAGTCTTCAGTTCTTTTCAAATAAATATTTTCGCTGAAGAAGTACTTTTTTCGTCTCAATGTAACTTGTAAAACCGTTTTTATCTCCTATTTATTTCGAGCATGCGCCCGTTATCGCCTGTCACATTCTGTCACATTGCTGACAGGCGATCACGTTTACAAATCGGATTTGACCAGATCTCGCCTACGGCTTCGTCAAGAAAAGATCTGGGTACGAGATTATTGTTCCTGCAATAAAGCAAAACTTTACCTTGAACGAGTGTTCAGTGGAGGGCCGTAAAGCCAAAGTAATTGCCCTGATCGCTAATAATGCTAAATAGACACATACAGCGCAACGCACCAATCAGAATTGGAATCAAATTCACAAAACCAGCGCCAGGCGCAAGTAACGACGTGCGAGCATGACCTACAGTTAAAACATAACTAACTAAATGAAGGTTTACGTTTTTGTGTAATTAAATTGAATTACGAACATCAGAGTCTCGTATATTTCTTGTACAAAAGCCTGGGAATGCAGTTTGTTTTGATTTGATTTGATTGAGGACTCAATCGGCGTTTGTTAAGTCTTGCACTGCGTTCTTGGTGCCTGCGCCTTAGAATTTGACGGAACGCTCAATTACTAAGACCACAGGTAACCCAGGCTCTGAGATAGTACCACAGTATGGTTCCAGTGAGTAAAAAATACGATCAGAAAATTTGTAGGAAATACGGAATAAACGTCAATGAAAGTTACTCTGCAGTTAGTTGTTGTTGTCCTTAATGCTCAAGCGAATTTTTGTGATGATTTGTCACGTTTACGGCAAACGGCAAACGTCAGATTCAAGTTGAGAATTTCTGAAAATGGATAATCAGTATATAAAAACTGTCCAAAACGATTCTTATGGATAAAACTAAGGTGAAACTACCAATATGTTTTGTAGTAGTAATTAACATCATCTTA